GGAGTTGAATTCTCTCCATTCTCAAAAGCAGCACAATTTTTGTTTGCTTTTTTTAAAAATATAATTTTATTAAAGTTTTTTTTTAAAAGTTAATAACTAATACAAAGTAATATAAAGTGAAAAAAAAAGAAATTGAGAAAGCTGAAAGTGCAAGAAAGGAAAAAAAGTAAAAGAAAAATAGGAAAGAAAGAAAAAAGATACAAAGAAGTAGCTTCTGATCTTCTTTACAGCAGTTATAAGTATAGTTATAAATTTACCTCTTACTCTCTTTCTTATAATCTATTCTGTCTAATCCACAAAATCATAAATCATAAATTCATTTTTTATATTTCATGCAAAAAGTCTGTAAGGGGTTTCCAGTCAGCAATAAATGTAGATACTGGAGACTTCCAGTGAGGATAATGGCGGCTTAGTCATCTCTCCATGAGAGGGGAAATGGGCTTGTAGCTGGATCGGTGGCTGGGAGCAAGCGCTGGCTGCCCAACTTGCTCCGGATCAAGGAGGAAGTGAGGAAATTGACCCATACAGTCTTCAGACAACCATTTCTCGAAAGCTTCTCCCAGAGAGAAGCTTCTGTGAATCGCTTTTGAGCTGAGCGGCCAGGAGATGGGCATCCATCTTACAGTAGTTCAAAGCTGCGGTGCAGCCTTTTTATGGACACCAGAGCCGACTGAACCTCATTTCTAAACACTGTGGAATATAACTATTTTGCAACTTAAGAGAGATCTTTCTTTACAACAGATAAGTAATTCTCTTGGGGTTTATCCTTATTTTTGGGACTACGCTTTCAAAAGAAGAAATAGAGCATTAATTTGAATCTGATTAACTCACAAAAATCTGGATGAAAAGTGGAATTTAAAAGAGACTTAAAAGTTACTTACAGTGAAAAGGGAAGATTTATTGTCAGAAGTTTCTTTTTTTATGAAACTCCATTTGTAGTAGTGACATTTGTTTTTTCCATGGGAAAATTTCTCGTTTTGCTGGATCATGTCTGTTCATTGGCTGGGTTTCTAAAACAGAAGAAGACTGTAACTTGATCCCTGTATGTTTCCCTTTGACATGTGCCTGCAATTCCAGCTTGAAGGACACAAGAGGCCGTGAACTGTTTACTTTTGCTTCTAATTAATTATATCCAGGTATACATTTTACTTGTGTAAATGAAAAAAGAAAAGAAAAAGAAAAAGAATATGACTATGAAGTTTGCTTTGGGGAAAAAATGGCTAGAAGAGGTCCCCTGGAGCAGCCATTAGAAGATAAAATAACTCCTTTACTTTTACTCCAGTCAGTGTTTGATGAATTAGGAGCTAAATTCAAATCCCTTGAAAAAAAGATGAGAGAGAGTAGATAAGATGGATAACTATGAAGAAGAGGTGGAGATTGACTCAAATGTGGAATCAGAGTTCAAAAAAACGTTGGACTGTGAAGGTGGTATGAACAGAGAATCTGTAGATTCGAACATGGATTTAAAATGGCCAAAGGGTACGAGTGTTATGAAAAAAGATGCCAGAATGGATTTACAAATCAACTGAATCAATTGATGATAAAATGTTTAAAGGAGAGATACAAATAATGGAGAGGAGTGACTTGGAAAGATTTTTTATCTTGGATTTGCAAAAGGAATGCCTTGAATCAGTGCTGCTGTTCCTGGGAAGAGACAAAGAGAAATTACTGAGGATGCTTCTGGGAGAAGACAAGGAAAGCCTGATGGGAATGAACTTGTGGGACATTATTTGAAAGGATTAAAGTTTAAACTTTTTAAAGTAAACAGAAGTTTATTAAGTGAATTTATTTGACAATGGTTAACATATATGCAGAGCTTCTGGTAGTTATTAATGGGATTATTTTGTGACCAGGATTGAATGACAATGCTTTAAGGATCTGTGTATAAAGTTTACTAAGGTTAAAACACATTTGTTATTAAATTTATGGAATTTTTGTTCTTATATGATAATAGCAGTAAGGTTTTTATATATACACAAGTGGAAGGATATGACATTATCTATAACTTTATTTTTATATAAGATAATAGCAGCAAAGCTTTTAAATGCACAGAGGTGGAAAAACAAGACATTACCTACAGTGGAAGAATGGCTGGTGAAGCTGATGGAGTTGGCTGAAATGGTGAAATTGATGGCTTTGATTTGAGATAAGATATTTTATACTTTTAGTGCTAACTGGAAATCTTTTTTGGACTCTGCAGGATACAGAAAAAAATGAAATTAAGTTGTATGGGTTTGATGATTAGAAATAATATGGATTAATAGAAATAATTGAAGTTATGTTGTAAATTTAGAGTAACAGTTTGATGTATATTGTTACTTATATCTGTTGCAGAGAGTGTCAGAAGTAATATTTTTTCTTTTGTTGTTTTTCTCTTTTTTCTTTTCTGTACTTTTGATCTTTACTATTTTCTCTTTTTCCAATTCCTTTTTATTTTTCTTATTATATTTTTCTTATTCTCTTTCTTAATATTAATTTTGTTAGTTTTTACTGTTCTTTTTTTTAAAAATTAATCAGTTATTACAAAAAAAGCAATAAACTTAGATATTGTCTTTATATCTATATATTAGCCATCTCAGCAAGTTCCATCATCTTCACCAACCATTCCTTCATTGTGCGTAGTGCCAAATCTTTCCATCTTTGTCCATACAATAATCTTGCTGAAGTTGTATATACAAAAACAAAATTCCATGACTTTTTCCCAGCTGTTTGTCCATCAATCCCAAAAGAAAAACCTCTGGTTTCAATTGTATATAAATCTTTAAAATCCTCTGAATTATTGTATGTATTTGACTCCAGAATTTTCTAGCTTTTTTACATGTCCACCAAACTTGGTAAAAGTCTCTTCTTGTTCACATTTCCAACATAAATTTGAAGTGCCTTTATACGTTCTAGACAATTTCTCTGGTGACATACAGTATACCAACGGTACATCATTTTATAAAAATTATCTTTAAGATTATAACATAGTATAAATTTCAATCCTTTCAGCCACATATTTTCCCATTGTTCCATCTGTATGTTATAACCAAATTTTTTAGCCCACTTTATCATACATTCTTTCACTTGTTCTTCCTCTGTTTCAAATTTAATTAAACATTTATACATTTTAGCAATTACATGTTGATCATTTGTACACAATTCTGTTTCAAACTTAGTCTTACAATGTTCAAAACCATAAATTCTTTTGTCTACTTTAAATCTTTCTAATAATTGTAAATGACAAAACTATTGACAACTATATCCCTTGGCCACTAGATCTTCTCTTGATTTTATTTTACATTCCCCTTGACAAAATTCTAGTATGCCACAATAAGTTAGCTATTTGTCTGCCTATTATTTTTCATCTATGAAATGCTTCTTGTGCTGGGAGCCACAAAGACACA